GGTCTTGGGTCTGATTAGGAGGAGGAAAGGGATTGTGTTTTAAATTGGGAAGAATAGTAATTTGGGAATTGTTTTCTTGGGCAGTGGGTTTGGAGCTTGGTTGCACTTCTTTTTTAATTTTAAGGCTTGGGGGTTAAGGTTTTTGTGCTGGGGAGGAGGATGCTTGAGACAAGTTTTTTTGGTTCCTCCAAGAAATTTTCCCATTAAAAACAATAAAGATGGTTTATTTATTACACCCCTATTTTAAAGATGGTTTCCATATAAAAATTATTTTTTTAACACAAAAAGAAAGATATTACATCTAGGAGTTGTTTGGCTCACGATGTAGGACAAAAAGGTCGAAGATATGATTTGATTCAGATTGAATAAAAAATAGTTAGAATGTTTTGTTTTATAATTTCAACTAGGTTATAGAGTGTTTGGCAATTCGAAAGTGAATTGAAATTATGTAAGTTATTTTTTTTTGCAAATAACTTTCACATCCACGTTAGAATGCAAGTGAAATACAATATTTAAAAAAAAGAATTTATTGTTGAAAGTGAAATGTGACGATGACGTGGAAAAATTAGATTAATTAGCAAATGTAGTTAAAATCATTTAATTAAAATTTGTTATCATTTCTATCACTTTCATGTGACTTCACCATTTTTAGGGGAAATCAAAATTGCATTATATCACATATGTCAACTTTCTTTCATTTCACATTCATAACCACTTGCATACAAACAAACATGTAAAATGTTTAAGAGAAAATCACTCTCTCACTTTCATCTCTCACTTCCATGCAAACAAAACACCTCATTAATGTAGTTGACATTTTAGGTTTCATTTTTAGTGGGAAAGTTATTTTTGAGTTGAGATTTAAGTTAGGGAGTTTTTTTTTTTTTTTTTTTTTTTTCCCTTGGGTTTTTTTTTTTTTTTTTTTTTGTTGCCATTGGGTTTTTCTTATAAATAAGTATAATAATAAAAAAAAATTCAGCACGGGCCCCGATAAATCAAGCTTCAAGTTTTAAGAAATATTTTTCTTGAACATGTGAATTGCTGACTAAGATATGTGACTTGCCTTTAGTTTAAGCCTTTACCATCTTTTTTTTTTTCCTTTAATGTTTTTTTTTTTAAATAACCTAGATTGGAATCAAATCCAAAACCTGTGGGAGCCAATATAGAAACCTCCCAACAATCTAGATCACCTCCAATGGATGATATTTATCACGCACTTAATAGGTTATGTAGATGCTTTTCATGCATTAACTTACAGTTGGAATTGCAACCCAATTTTACAACAAAAGCAACAACTCCTTATACAAACAGGCTAAAGGGAAACATTTCGCTCCCATCTGGCTTAATTCAGGAATGATGAATCCGCTGAGTTTAGAGGCATACGCTGGTTTGACAACATAAGCTCTCCTGATATAGAGTGCGCATGCTATTTAACATAGACTAGGATTGAGGATCTGACATTTACAGTCTCATCACCAATCAATGACAAGAACGACTGAGGGCAGAGCAAATGGAGATACAAGTAACGAACAGAAATTTTGCATGATCCAAGATAAAAGACCTCTTAAGAAGAAGAATCGTCAGTCAGCCAGCCACAATGAACTTCAATAACATCCAGTAATCATTCAAATCACAGCTAAAAAGAATGTAGCATCAACACATAGAAGCAAAACCTCAGGATACGAAAGCTAGCAACTCAGTAATGCACCCAGAAAACTAAACCAGGAAGCTATGCAAGAAAAGCCAGGAAAAAAGGAACATGACTTTGAATCTAGATTAAGATAGTACTCCTAGGATTTATACTCAGCGCACAAATATTCCAATAAAGAAACAACTCAATGTTCTCAAAAGTCAAACTTCTGTGACAGATTCAGATATAAGTAAATTCTCTCAATAATAAAAGTGCAGTTCACTAACTACGAAAAACATAGAAAACTAGTTACTTCATAGATAAAGCATATCTCCCGGAGAAGGTAAGATCCTGATGCATCCGAAAGCCACCAGGATTCCAATCCTTTGGAGAAGTTCGTCAACGATACTGTACAAGAAAAAGAAATAGGAATGCATCAACAAGCAATATCATATATAACATAAACAAAAGTCAGAAAATTGGGAGATAAAAAGAGTGAAGAACATCTTTGTTTTACATCTATACCATATATACTAAAGAAGACTGTAGACTGCCACTCGGCAAATCTTAGGGCTTTACCTCCTGAACTTCCATAAAATTAACACACTACCTCTTATAATTAACCTCCCCTCCCTCTCTCTCACGAATATGCAATTAACTTCCCTTCAAATTGATAATTTATTAATTGATAATTATTCCTTTTCCACCGCTTCAAGCCTTAAACAACCTTCCTCTAATAGTTTGTTCCACACTCTCATCCCAATTCTCTCTGCACCTATTCCACTTCCATACAGTAAACTACATGTCTCTTCTTAATGTTCAAAAAGAGAGTTAAACATGTGTCGCACAATGCTATTGCATTAATTAGCAGTGGTCTCCCCTAAAATCAGTTATAAATGGGAGCCTCAATAAGATTGATCAAAACAGGTAGGTCAAACTTTGTGGTAATTTTATGTAATATATCACCTTTTAATGTTCCCAATTGTGATTGAATTTGGATACCTAGATTTGACAGAATCAGATTATAGACTGCGGAGAATGTTTGCAATTTGAAGAAGGAAGAGGTAGATCAAATCATGAAGATTGATATTGTAGAAAAATGTCTATTTGTTACAAATTTGTTTTCATTTTGAATTCAAATTTATCTATGATTAGAAAACATTTTTATCACCCAAAAATAAAAATAAAAGTTGGTGATGTTTGGTGATAAATTATTATGTTTAGAATATGAACTAAAAACAAAAAATATCCTGCACATCGTAGCACTATTTCGTAAAATGAATTCAATAACCATGTAACTGAGACAAGCTTAGGAAATGAGAAAAAAACCAATTATCAGCATGAAGAAAATGGATCAAAATAAGCACACTTAAAAGGTGGTGGTAAGGTGTATCCACACTAGGGATGGCAAAATGAACCCAAAACCAATTGCCCACCCATACCCACCCGCCAAATGAACCATCCAAACCCACCCATTTAGTTAAATGGGCCATAAATGGGTGGGTATAGTTTCTATTAAAGATAAATGGGTCATTAATGGGTGGGTTATTACCCACCCATTTACCCGTTTAGATGGATATTGTTTTAAAAACACCCTCAACGCTTAAACAATTACAAAACTTATTTTCAAAAGTTAAAAATTATAGAAAACACTTAAAATGACTAACAACCCCTTAAAATTTTAAGATTTGCAAAAAACACCCTCAAAGTTTAAAATATTATAAAAACGCCCTCAAGAGTTAAAAATTATAAAAAAAACTATCAAAATTTTCTAACCTCACAGATGACACATGAAATTCAAAAATTACCAACAGCCCCCTGAAATTTTATAATTTGCAAAAACACCCTTAAAAGTTGTAGAAAATGAGAAAAACACCCTCAAGACTTCAAAATTACTAAACAATCTTAGAGTTTTCTAAACTTGCAAATGACATATGAAATCTAAAAAATTTCAATAGTCACCTATAAATTTAAAATTTACAATTAACACCCTCAAAGTTTTAAATTTTTAGAAAAACACCCTCCATAGTTTAGAATTACAAAACCATCCTGAAATTTCAAAACCTACAAATGACACATGAAATCCAAAAATTACTAGCAACCCCCTGTAAATTTATAATTTACAAAAAACACCCTCAAAGTTTAAAAATTGCAAAAAACACCCTCAAGAATTCAAAACTACAAAACAATCTTAGAATTTTCTAAACTTGCAAATGACACATGAAATCTAAAAAATTTCGGTAGTCCCCTATAAATATCAAATTTGCAAGTAACACCCTCAAACTTTTAAAAATTACAAAAAACACCCTCAATGATATATAAATATAAAAAGTAGGCGCTCATAATTCTTCGTCGGCAGAAGATATATGCGTATGCGACCAAGTGTAATTTGTCACATGACCAAATTAAGGGCTTTTTTTAAATAACCGAGCAGGTAGTAAACTAGACTTGTTACGAGTCCATCTCTTCTTTTGCTCAGCCCCGTCATCATTTGCTTCTTTTCCTCACAATTCTGTCCTAATTTTCTGAAGTAGTCGATTCAATTGAGAAAGAAATATTTATAGAAAACCCCCTGAAAGTTTGTAGAAAATCTCCTAAAAGTTTGCAGAAAACCCCCTAAAAGTTTACAGAAAACACCTTAAAAGTTTATAAAAAACCCCCCTAAAAGTTTACATAAAACCCCTGAAAGTTTGTAGAAACCCCCTAAAAGTTTACAAAAAACCCCCTGAAAGTTTACTGAAACCTCCTAAAAGTTTGCAAAAAAACCCCTAAAAGTTTACAGAAAACCCCCTAAAAGTTTGCAGAAAACCCCCTAAAAGTTTGCAAAAAAACCCCTGAAAGTTTGCAGAAAACCCCCTAGAAGTTTGCAAAAAAACCCTGAAAGTTTGCAGAAAACCCCTGAAAGTTTGCAGAAAACCCCCTGAAAGTTTGCAGAAAACCCCCTAAAAGTTTACAGAAAACCCCCTGAAAGTTTGCAGAAAACCCCCTAAAAGTTTGCAGAAAACCCCTAAAAATTTACAGAAAACCCCCTAAAAGTTTACAGAAAACCCCCTAGAAGTTTGCAAAAAAACCCCTAAAAGTTTGCAGAAAACCCCCTAAAAGTTTGTAGAAAACCCCCTAAAAGTTTGCAGAAAGCCCCCTAAAAGTTTGCAAAAAAACCCCTAAAAATTTGCAGAAAACCCCCTAAAAGTTTACAGAAAACCCCTAAAAATTTACAGAAAACCCCCTAAAAATTTGCAAAAAACCCCCTGAAAGTTTGCAGAAAACCCCCTGAAAGTTTGCAGAAAACCCCCTGAAAGTTTGTAGAAAAGCCCCTGAAAGTTTGCAAAAAAACCCCTGAAAGTTTGCAGAAAACCCCCTTAAAGTTTGCAGAAACCCTCCTGAAAGTTTACCAAAAATCCCTGAAAGTTTGCAAGTAGATCCCTGAAACTTACATATATATATAAGCATCATAATCATAACTAAATGGGTTATTGGGTTACCCATGAACCACCCATTTAGTAAATGGGTGGATGAGAACCAACCCATTTAGCAAGTGCTAAATGGGTCATAAATGGTTAAGTGGTCATAAATGTGCCCACCCATTTATGACCCAACCAAAACCCAACCAAAACCATCCATTTGCCATCCCTAATCCACACTGATTTATTATTTGACGATCAATTTATATAACAAAAATTAAGTCATACTGACTTCATCAAGCATATTTATCACAAAGCTATAAATAATCTTCCAAAATTTAACCGGAAATGCAACCATATCTATATAGTTCACTCTAGTTTATGAGAATGGACATTGCAAATAAGAACAAAACTAGCCAAGTATAACTCATTAACTAACACTTCATGCCCAAGTTTTCTTGATGTTATTCGCTTTTCTCCTATAATATTATTTTAGTTGGCCAGCTCCTTTAGTGCCCGACCTTTCATAACACCAGTTACTTTCAATGAAAAGCAATATCAAACAACGTCACGAATATAGATAAAAAGCAACAGAATAACCTGCAGGGGTCTAGGGATATTTAAAGAAACAAGGCTAACCCGACTCACAAAAAACAATGCTCACTTGAATGACATCAGTAGTAAACATCAAAATTATTCTACATTTTTAGATGTAACTCATAAAAGGGATGAATATCAAGAAGCAAAGGAGTCTACCTTAATGAAACCAATTTCTTTCGCATTGCTGCGAAAGCACTGCCTACAGCACATAAGTCCATACTTCCGGATAATTGCATGAGGGTTTCCACAAACCCGGCTGAAAAGAGAGAACCAAAACAAAAACAAATTAACGACTGGTTAATTCAAGCGTCTATTTAAGTGTACATTAAGTTATTCAGTATCATTTTAACTATTTCTCTCTTGATTCCTTATACATGTATTTTCTTCATAATGGCAACAATCTATCATATGATCACAGTTCTAGGTAAAATTTACTAATCATGCATGACTATGTGAGCCCTAACAGTTAACACCTGGTTAATTTGTCAAAAAAAAAGTGTCCAATGGTAAGAAAAGTGCAAGTTCCTGTTCTTTTTGCATTAGCTAACAAGATTTTTTTTAAATGTCACTTCTCTTTTCCCCATCAGAACATTTTGGTTCTAATTGTGTTTGCACTGCTACATAAAGTTGGTGAAAGACACAAACATGAGTAAGAGCAACTCTTCATTTTAGTTTAATCTTGCACACACTTCTCACTCACCTTTTTCTACCTTCTCTTACTTGCCTTCTACGTAAAATTAACTAATCATGCATGACTACGAGAGCCTTGAAACCTATGTAATTTGTCAAAAAGTGTCCAATGGTAAGAAAAGTGCAAAGTGCAAGTTCATCTTCTTTTTTGCATTTGCTAACAAGAAACTTTTGTTATTACTTTCCTTCTCCCAATCAAAATATTTTGCATCTATCTGTGTTTGAACTGCTACATAAAATTGGTGAAAGGTCACAAACATGAGTTAGGGCGTCTTTGTTCTAGTTTAATCTTGCCCACTCTTCTTACCATTCTCTAACTTCTCTTGCTAACCTTTTTCTAGGTAAAATTAACTAATCATGCATGAATATGTGAACTTTTATACCTAGTTATTTGTAGAATACCGTCCAATGGTAAGAAAAGCGCAAGTTCACATTCCTATTGCATTCCTTAACAAGAAATTTTTCGTTGTTACTTCTCATTTCCCCATCAGAACATTTTGGTTCTAATGGTATTTTCACTGCTCTAGATTGCACGGAAACGGGTGCAGGTGCGGACGCGGACGCAGACACAAGACACGACAAATTTGTAAAAGATAGGATACAAGAACATGGCAAGACACATATAATTAACATTAGATCAAATATTGAATTAATATACTAACAATATGTTTTTTTTATTATCTATAGTAATTAAGAACCAAGTAAGATCAAACTAATAATTAAGGTTAAAGGAAAAAAGTTATTTTAATAATAATTTTTAAAAAAAATTGTTCAATCAAAACTAATGACCGCAACTTATATAGAATCACAGCTTAAATAAAAGTAAATGGAAAATGTAAAATAATCGCAGCTCAAATAAAAAAATCACAATTTGTATGGATATTTTTCTAGAAAATTTGCAGCTATGAACCACACATGTCCATGCTGTGTCCGTGACGAATCTATGTCTGATACCTACCGGACACGGATGCGTACCCATAATGAAGTGACCATGTCACCTAGGTGCTGGTACATGAAATTGGTGAAAGGCTACAAACATGAACAAGAGCATGTCTTTATTTTAGTTTAATCTTGCACACTTTTTACTTTTTTTTACTTTTACCTTCTTTTCCCAACACTAAAAATGTCAACCTTTAACTAAGGGGTGTTCTGTCCCTTGAGGCATGTTTGGTTGATAGATTGTTGGTTAAACAAGTCACTTTTTTTAAGACGTGAACGGACAATTTTCATAGATTTCCCTATTTTATGGGATAAAGGGGCCAATTTTATCTTAAATTTAAAGATCTAAACACATAGATCTAGGCAATTATTCCATGTGGTAAAAGAGCAAGTTTATGTGAAAAAGTTGCTCGGTTCAAATCCAGCTACCGTCTTCATTCACTAAAAGAGGAAGTGAGTACCATGCAATTTACAAAAAGGAGTCAATCATATGGTCTTTTTACTAATTATGAAGGGTTTTAAAGCTATTTTCATTGTACATGGAATAGGTTAATAAAGTTCATTGCAATCACATGTTGACTTTAAAGAGATGATTTAATGGTAATGATCAATAAAATTAAAGGTTATTAGTGCGATCTACCATCTCTTTCCTCACTATTTTCTTCTTCATTAATTCTATGTTATCCAACTATAACTAATCTATAATATATTAATCTTCCCTATGGATATTGACCATATTACCTCATACACATTTTGGATGAGAAAATGGCATTACAGTGAGAAAAGGCAAGGGGTGTGGGGGTGGTAGTGCGAGAAACCATAGCTGCGTGATTCCCTGGACCCCCTCGAACTGTTAAACAGTTCATGCGAACCGATTCCCAGTATATTTATGAACTGATTCCCTCCAATACACAAATTCATTCCTCAAAATTAGCATACCGCTTACTTATATGAAGGACTAAAGTTGATTTACAAATCTGATTTCGTGCATATGAGCTTGGATTTTCAGTAAGTGGAAGTTATCTAAAGCTAATAACTAATTCTAGATCATTATTTCTTTAACTAATGTTGTTAAGAAGATTTTGTCTCGGCCTATTTGTAGCTCTTCGGCTGAGAGAAATTGGATTACTTATTCCTACATATATAATGCGAAAAGGAATAGATTGAACAGTGAAAGGGCGAATAAGTTAGTATTCATCCATTCACACATTCACCGTCTTTCACGATCTTGTGAGAATTACAAAATTGGTCTATATAAAGGATGGGATAAGGATCAAAATAACTTGAAGGACTCTTCAAGTAAGTTGGAGGAGCTTAAATGGAATTATTTGGACTCGGAATTAACAGAAGATGCACTTAATGTTAAGGGGAAGAAAGTTACAAAATAGAAAAAATTTATTAAGATGCTATAAGATATTTAATATTTTAAGTTTTATGTATTCAGAAATTATAAAAATGAAGTATTGCAGAATTTTGTATGAAAAAATATTGAAATGCATAATTCATTTTTTAGTTTCTAATTTTCTACTATACACTTTGAAAAGTGATAAGCGTACCCAAAAAAATTACATTGTATCCTATATCGAACTTGCATATCGAAGCAAGCTACCCCTATCGAACCCAAAATTTCAAAGTCTCGAATTGCGTACCTAAATTCGTACGACGACGGGCAATTTACAAAATCTAAATCCAAACAATATAAAAGCCGAAAACCTCAAAAGTGAAGTCTAAAATCGAGTATTTAGTAAGGAGTTTAGAGCGGAGATAATTCCATAATAGATAATCGAGTACTAGGTGGTGGTGGCCATTCAGTTGAGGCGTTGGATTGGAGGAAGAGGCAAAGCTGAGGAGTTGTAACGGAGTAGGTGGCGGAGTTGAGGAGTTGTAATGGAGGAGGTGGTGGCACCGGCAAAGTTGGTGGCGGAAGGTAACGTAGCTGGTGGAGGGAGGTAATGGATCCGGAAAGGAGAGTTACGGTTGGGGTATTGAGCGGATAGAGGATATCAAGAGAAAAGACAGGAGTATTAAGTAGAGTAGAATTAGGGTGGGGTTCAGGTAGATTTGGTTCGAGTTTCTAAAAAGCCCGTTTATTTAAAATGGCTTGTTAAGCTCAAAAGCATTATTCGGCGCTTTAAACCACTATTTAGCGCTTTTACGCGCATTTCACCACTATTTCGAGTAAATAGCCGTCCGGCCGCTTTTTTCTGTCCGCTATTGAGGAAATCATTGCGGGGTGGTGCTCCAATCGCAATTGTGGCCACAATATGCACCGCAATCGGCCGCAATGTATAACACTGAAGTAAATTTTTCATTCAATATAGCATTGGTGCAACTTAATGTACTCCCATCTCAAAAGATATCCAAGCCATTTCTAGCCCACATACTGCACACAAGCTCAATGTTCAGTAAATAGCATGTTTCTCACCTTGTAACCCACAAATAGAAACCACGCCAACTTTCATTCACATATTTATTTCCTTTTTACTTGTTCAGAAACTCCATCATATTCGATGATGTAGTCGGTAAAAATTTTATTTTGAAAGGTTACGAGTAAAAAAAAATTATTTTGAAAGGTGATGACCTTAAATAGCATAAATTCTAGAAATAATGCTCTATTCACAAATTAATTCCACAAACAACAGGGTAACAACAACCATTTTTCATATACTACTGCATGACTAACTACTGCAGGAAAATCCACAAAAAACTACAAACAGTACCAATTAGAATGGGAGAAAAAACTTGTAATAAAGTGAGATCGGTTACCAAGCACGAGATCCAGGCCCATAGTTCTTGGGATGAGAGTTCCACACATTAGAATGACCCATATCTCTCTCTTCTCTCTCGGCTTCTACTCAAAATCCGCAGAAACCCTAAGCTTTGGCGAGGGATGGCGGCGATGGGACTAGGGTTTTAATAAAAAAGCCCCAGTTTCTGATTAAGGGAATAGTATAAGGTTCGGGTTCTAAACAACCGGGTTCGGACCCGAAATATCAACTGATCAGGTTAAAATGATTCCACCAATAAATAACCATAATGGTGTAGTGATCGTTAGTAAGCGGATATTAACTGATCAGGTTAAAATGATTTAACCAGTAACCCATGGAAATGTTATTAGCCCCCCTAATTTTCGACTTATTATGAATTTACTTCTATCAATTAAGAATGAAAATAGCAATTAAGGGATTTAAATTTGAAACAAATTATGAGGACCGGAGGAGGCAATAGGCCATAACAATAGATTTTACTTGGCAATACGTCAAATTGCTACTATTACTCCTGAGGGGGGGGGGCTGATTGAAAGATTTAAGGGATTAACAATAGAAAAAAAATTATTTTTTAAGGTTTTTCGCAAGTCTTGGATATGAATCAGGTATGAACAGCCGGAACGTAAGCTCCGCAAACTCTCGTGACTGCAAGAGCTGGTGTAGCTTCGAGTCCTCTTCAGTGGGGCATATATTGAGATCCTCATATGGAAATGAGCAATTCAATACAGAAATTTCGAATCTAAAAAAATCAAAAATTATTGAATACCTTGAAAAAAGGGTTATGTTTCCCAATATGTGTGTATTACTCTCTTATATATAATCTATTGTCGAGAGTGAAGAGTACGAACCCCACAAGTATCCCCCGCGGCGAATTCCCCCCACCGATCGCCCAGCCCGACCCCAAAAATTCAATGAAGAGTAACAGTAGTAATTGGATGGATTGCCAAATAAAATTTATTGTTGTGACATATCGCCTCGTCCGGTCTTCATAATTTGTTGCAAATTAAACCCTTTAATTGCTATTTCCATTCTTGATTGAAGGAAGTAAATTCAACCCTTGGTTCATGTGATTCTAAGCTCTAATAATTTTCTTTTTATTCGAAGTCAAATTAAAAGCTCTTTTTATCAAGAGAATAGGAGTTTATATTTTAATTCTTACAATTTTAAACATTGTTTGATCTTTCTCCATCGAGATGATTATTGCTCTGGTTTACCTCTGGTGATACATTTGTCTGAATCCTTAAAATTTTCTTCAATTCAAAATCAAAACATTTGTATGTTTAGGGGGTGTTAGTCAATTGGGACATTTTCATGTAAAATAGGATAATTGTTAAAGTAGAATAATTTTTCGCTATTGAGATATTTTAGTGGGATAAATAGGAACAATTTTGTGAAGCGGAATATTTTGATAAAATAACGTGGGATAAATTTTTATAATCATGAAATATATATTTATGCATTTTAAAGATATAAATATTATTTATGTATTTTCAACTTACTATTGTTAATTGATAATTGCTTACAAGAATGTTCTTTGCTATTAAATAACATTTGGTTAGACTATAAGATATTAACAATTATTATTATAATGATGGTCTAATGATGGTGATAACCATAATAGGAAAGAAGTAAAGAAAAAAAGAAATATAAAAAATAAAAATAACAAAATAAATATGAGTTCTTGTTTTTTACCACCTAGTTCCAAACTAAAACTTGGAATAATTTAAGAGACTAGAACTCTTATTTTTGTATAGAAAAATAAAAAAAGTGGGATAACTTTGTACCATTATCCCAATTCAAGTTTTGCTAGAGTTCTGCTTGATTAACACTGTAAAATTTTGTTCTAGTTTTAGTTCTATGTGACTAACACCTTAAAAATTTATCCCACATATTATCTCAGTTCCAATTTTAAGTTTTAGGTGACTAACCCCCCTTAGAGAATAATAAAGTTACATTAATTAAGGTCTTAAAACGTTAAAAAAGACCTTCTATGTTCCTCAACTGAGGGCTGTTTGTTTGCCTAAAAAAAGTGGGAAATCAAAGAATAGGAAAACTTGTATTATGGTTGTTTGGTTGGCTAAAATAAGAAAGAAATTAAAGAATAGGAGATGAGATGAGATGAGTGGTCATCATATTATTAGATGATGTAAATGATTTTTTAAGAAAACTTTGTTTTGAGGTTGTTTGGTTGATTAAAAAAATAAGGAAATGCATTATAAGAAACCTATTTCCTATAATATGTTCTTTTCTTGTGTTTGGTTCATTCTTAAAAATAAGAAAATAGATGATATGAGATGAGTTGTCATTATATTATTGGATGATGTGACCCACACTTAAGGAAATCAATTTCCTTGATTTTTTTGAGGAAATTGGTGGAAATGAAATGTTAATGAGATGAGATGAGTTGTCACCATATTATTGGATGATGTGAGTAATTTTTAAAAATGAGATGAGATGAGTTGGATGAAGTGATCCATTTTTTGTGTTTGGTTTATTTTTAAAAGTAAGAAAGAAGATGAGATGTAATGAGTTGATGGATAAAAATAATATTTTATTAATAAAAGTGTATAGATTTCCTTTTTTGGGGTGAGTTTTAGGGATGGAAATTGTTAGGAACCATACTAGGATGGTGCAGTACTGTGTGATGTCAACATATGCTGGGATGGTACAATGTTGTGTGATATGGACTGATACGCAAGTGAAGATCATTTTATGCAAGTCCTGAGAAGATTGGAGGGGGTATTAGCAAGTATTAATGTCCAGCTTAACATCTCTAACTGTTTCCCAACTGTTTCCTAACTGTTTCCCAATTTCTGTTTTTACTATTATGTGTGCACATGCACAAACACTGTTGGTTTCTTTTCTTTGTGCTTTTGAGAAGAAAACTGTATTGGGTATAAAGGGAGAGTTGTAGAATTCAATGCTTATGAAAATGAATGAGAATCTTGTTCTCTTTCTCAAACTCCTTCCTATCAATTTCCTCTCTAACTCATTCTCTATTCTTCTATTTCCTCAAATTTTCACACTATCTGAGCTTGTTTCAGGCTCTTCATGACCAAGAACACCTCCAGAAGAATCAATCGAGGCTCTCGAGCCTCACAGAAATGGATAAAAATAATATTTTAATGAAAAAAGTACAAAGATTTTCTTTTTGTGAACGTGGGCCACACCCACGTGGTGTCTCAGGAGAATTGTGAACTCGCGGGAGCGCTGAGTTCAGTGGGCTCACCCGAGAGGCCTACACCCGATTTTCTTCAAATCCATCCTATAAATATCTGTTGATTGCTAGGGTTGCGTGGGGGAAAAAGGTAGAGAGGTGAAAACGAGTTTTTTTCTAAGAAAAAGAGGGTTAGGCGGCAGTCCTTTTGGATAAAAGGCAGAGTCTTTTTTTTCTTTTTCGGATCTGTGAAGAGGAGAGATAAAAGGAGAGATCATAGCTTTATTTTTGAGACGAGCTTGTGGATTGTACAAGTCGTCGGTGTTCTTCTCATAGTGGTATCTCCCCTCACCCCCTCACGTGGACGTAGGCAAGTTTGCCGAACCACGTAAATCTCGTGTCTTTGTTGTTTTATGGGTGTTTGGCTATTTCTTGTAGGTTCCTTCGATATTTCAGTCCTACAACTAATGAGAAGAAGAGTGCATATTTTATTTTGTTGAAATATTTTACTTTCTATTCTAGTTTCCTTTGAGAAACAAGAATTTCACTTTCTATTATTGCTTCCTTTGAGAAACGGAAATATAGAGGTTGACTTGTGCTTTTGTGACAACAAAAGCCAGCGCTATCTCTCAGTTGATATCACTTTCGCGGCGGTGGGCGTGACTCTGCGCCCAACAATTGGTATCAGAACCCTTTATTCAGATTGGAGGTGATAGAATTTCTGATCTTAGGTGGTGCGTGATTTTGTGTGGTGAACACAAGGTATTTGTTGGAATTCCTGAGAGAAGCGGATTTATTAATACAAACGGAGAATGATGTCAACAAGTAAAATAGTTAAAGTGGGAAAGTACGAGATTGAAAAATTCAATGGGAAGAATGATTTTTCTTATTGGAGGATGCAGATGAAGAACTCATTGATTTCGTAGAAATTGCACAAAGCTTTGGCAGGAAAAGAGAAGAAGCACAAGGATATGTCTGATGAGGATTGGGAGGAGCTGGATCTGGAAGCACGGGTGTCGATTATCCTTTGCCTTGAAAGGGATATAGCTTTCTTGGTAGATGGAGAGAAAACGGCTGCGGGCGTGTGGTCGAAGTTAGAAAACACCTTCATGACGAAGAGTCTAATGAACCGGATCTATTTAAAATCTAAATTATATACTTACAAGATGGAGGAGGGCTCATCAATCCGGGAATACATCAACAAGTTCGATAGGATAATATTGGATTTGAAGGACATTGATGTGACTGTAGAAGACGAGGATCAGGCGCTTCTACTACTTCTATCTCTGTCGAAGTCTTATGAGAACTTGGTGCAAACACTGATGCTTGTGGGAACCAATTTGACGATGGATGAGACTAGAACGGCGCTTCTAGCAGATGACCTTCGGAAGATTGCAACCAGTGACATGACTACTGGTGGTAACAATGAACAAGCGCAGAGATTTTTTGCTAGAGGAAGGAGCAATGAGTGAGAAAAAGGTAAGGGAGGAAAGTCTAGATCTAAAGAGCGTGCTTCAAATACGGTGAAGTTGGGTATTTCAAGGTCGACTGTCCAAACAAGAGAGTAGGTGCGAAGAAGAACAACAACAAGACTGAGAGGAGAGAAGGTAAGGAAGAAGTGAGCTATGTTTCAGAGGAAGGGAACGATAAAGAATGCTATATTGTTACGGGTGGTGAAGATATCTCTGGTAAGTGGATACCTGATTTAGTTTGTTCTTACCACCTGTGTCCAAATAGGAACTAGTTTACTACCTATAGAAGCATTGATGGTGGAACCGTATTGATGGGGAATAACCATGCTTGTGAAATGGTAGAACTCAGTGATATAAAAATCAAGATGCATGATGGAGTGGTCAGAACCCTAACGGACATGTGGCACGTTCCCGACTTACAGAAGAATCTTATCTCAGTTGGTGCTTTGGACTCCGATGGCTGTAAGATTGTTACTGAGAACAGAGTGAAGAAGGTTGTTCGAGATTCCCTAACAGTGATGAAGGGTGT